TTCTGTGAACAGTTTTGTTTTGTTGCCATTGTGTTGTCTTCTGATTTTTCACTTATGTCAGTTACTCTTAGATTAGCCTTCATTTTGCTATCTAGCAGCTGTTTGATCCATTTTATGTCTTTGTTGCTTTCTTTTCAGGTATCTTTGACTAGTTGTCTTTGTGAACATCCTTGACTTTTAGTTCTGAAATTTTGTCCTAACATTGGTTGCTTCTGCTGCCCATACTTTAAACGTAATTTTTAAATAAAAAGGTTTAATTGAAACCTTTTTAATGACTAATTCTTTGCTAAACTTGTTATTCATGTTTTATATAGGCATGTTTAGCTTGGCTAGCTTTTTATTAGTGTCTTCTGAAAGCTCCTGGATCGTATTGATTATTACTTCCTGATTATTACTTGTCTGTTTAGTTATGTCTTCTGTGATCCTGCTGAGGACTTCTTTGATCTGTTTTGTAAATTCCTGTCTTATATGTTAAGTAATTTGGGTGTGTGACTTAGCTATTTTCCCCCTTTTACCCCCTGTATTGGCTTCTGGGAAATTGGGAACTTTGGAAGACATTTTGTTACCTTATTTTATGTTGCTATTGGTTTTTTGTTTGTTCTTTGGTGAGATCTATGGGTGCATATAGTATAAAAACTTTGTTGTAAATATAGAATTCTCTTTAGTAGCTTTTCAATGATGTACTTTAGGCATGGCTAACTGTAGTCAGTTGCATTAGTCTCAGGATCTGACCACCTTGGTTAATTTGGGAGGGTAAATACAGTGTAACTGGCCCAACACCAAGTTGTCTGGGAATGTACTGTAGTGTTGTTAATGTCACAAAGGTCTTATGAGTGTTACCTTACAGAAAAAAGCCTATTAATAGCAGTAATTATGTGATCTTGGTAATAACCAAATCAGCTACAGTAGTATTGCCAAGACAAATTGGATATTAACATATCGTAAGAACCAATTATGTACTTCATGCTAGAGAAGAAATTTACATAATCGTATAAAAGCCAATGATTGACTTATAGCTAATATGTACTATATACAACTATACCTCTGCTAATGGTAGAAAAGAATTCAAGAATAATTTTATAGAGTCAACTGTGTAAAGATTAGTAAAGCTGTATGGTTATATTATTAAAGATACAGGAGGTTAGAAACCAAAGAATGCAAGAGGAAGAATTTGAAACTTTATATGATGTGAGAAAGAGGAGAGAGAAGTGGTACAAGGATCCTATTGGGGAATAGATGGATGTTTACAGAATTAAATAAGTGTAAGAGAAAAAAGTGACAAATAGAAGATAAAGGAAAAGGAGACAAAAAGAAATTATATAGGGAGTAGAAGTAAGAGAAAAAATTGAAGGGAGGAGAGGAAAAATAAATTTAAAAAAAGAAGAGATGAGGTAGGAAAAAAGCAAAGGAAAAATCCCCCAAGCCCCAATAACTGGTAAAGGAGAAAGGAGAAAAGGAAAAAAGAACAAAAAATAATACACATACAAAAGAGAGAGAGAAAAGAAGTTTCTCTGTGATTTTGAATATGTGTTTTTCTTTTTCGATCTACAGTTTTGGGGCAGTATCCAAGTCAAGATGTATCCCTACTCACACTGGTAGATAAAGTAGGCAATCAGACCTCTATCTCTGCTAGATGCAGGCACTAGCAGGCAATAGGATTAGGGCAAGGGCACCAGTACTGTGACTTTCAAATCCAGAGCTACTCAGGCTGAGCCTACCCTCTGGCTGTAGGGGCAGAGCCTATGTTCTTTAGCTTTATCCCTTCAGGGAATCTCTTTTCTGCTGGCTCCCTGACTGCAGCTGTCTAAAATGGCAGTGGCTCACCTAGTCACTGTGGGATATAACACTGACAGCCCTGAAGTGAAGTTGTCCAATGATTGCTTTGAGTCCAAGGTTCAGACAACCTTTTCCCAGAATGGTGTCCAAGCACTCTCTCCAGGGATATGGAGGAACTGGAGCATGGTTGTGAATCTATAGTACGTGTGCTGCAGCAGGCATGCAAAGTCCTCTGTGTTGGCATGTGAGCCAAGTTGTCCCAGCAGCCAAGCATCGAGATAAGAATTATTTTTTTCTAAACTAAAACCTCAGTATTCAGGTTTAGTTACAGAGTTGGCACATTGCAATAGATAAGTAGATTTTGAGTTGCAGTTTGGGTACTTGGTCTCTGAAAGTGTCATCATCCCTGGGCTAGTCACTCATCGGCTGTTCCCTGGTAAAGGACTCATGTAAAAGCAGAACCCCATACTCTCCCACAGACCAAAGCACCTGCCAAGGCATTCGACCATAGGATTTCTCCGTGAAGACCTTTGGAGTCTTTGTCTTTGCCTGTAGATTTGGTCTCCCTTTCCTGTAAGCATTGAGCTTGGAGCTAGGGAGAAAAGGTATACTGTCCTTTCCATGCTCCGTGTTGTGTTTTGTCTCTTGAATTTCTCTGTAGGTTTTACTTTTTTTTTAAGATCCTTCTGATACCTAGGAATCTACATTTTCCCCCCAAGTTGTTATTTTCTGTGTCTGGATTCTGAATCTCATAGAGGTCAAGTTGTTATCTCTTGTCACTGCCATTTTCCTGGAAGTCCCTGTGTCTGGCATCTTTAGCATCATATTCTTAAGATTTATCTATGTTACAGTATGCACCAGTATTTCTTTCCTTTTTTATGGATAAATAGTATTGTTTGTACGGATATAACACATTTTGTCTATGCATTTATCACTTGATAGTCATTTGGGTTGTTTCTACTTCATGACTATTAGTAAAAGATGAAAGATTTATACGAGCTAAAGAGAAACCAGAGTATACTTCATGACTATTAGGAATAATTCTCCTATGTAAGTTTTGCAGGTAAGTATTTGTGTAGAAATATTTTTTCATTTCTTTTGGAAAGTTACCAAGGAATGAAGTAGCTAGGTAATATGGTAATTTATTTTCTTGACTTTTTAGAAACTACCAAACTTTTTCTAAAATGATGACACTATTTTATATTCCTATCAGCAATGTATAAAGATTTCTGTATCCCTGCCAACATTTATTATTGTCATTTTGTGTTTTGAGGATGCATCCTAGGGCCTTGAAGATGCTGGGTAAGGTCATTACCGCTAAACTATATCCCCAGCCCACTGTCAGTGTTTTAATATAGCAATTCTTCTGTAGTGTTTTTATATAATAAGTGTTGCAAGATCACTCCTGCCTTTCCTTTCTCCCTCTCTCACAAATGGATCTCCTAGGGTGTTACTTTTATATACTTCTCAAACTCTTTGTATTTTTAGTCCATACTTCTTGGGACTGTTACTTTGCTTGTGTTAATTGCTTACTATTTAAAATGAAAATTTCCTTTGTCCTGAGATGGGAATCTTTCTGTTGCTTATCCCTATATTAGGTTAATAGTGTTGATATTTAGCCAGTCATGGTGTACCTCTGAAATCTCAGCTCCCTAAACAGCTGAGGCAGGAGAATCACGAGTTTGAGGACAACCTAGGCAATTTAGTGAGATCCCATCTTTAAAAAAAAAAGTTGCTATTTTCTTTATAGCTTCAGATTTCATTTTTTTTTGTTTTTTGTTATTGTTATTTTAATTTTTAGATAGGGTCTTGTTAAGTTGACCAGGCTGGGCTCAAATTTGCTGTCCTTCTGCCTCAGCCTACCAGATTGCTGTGATTACAGGCATGGACCACTGTGCCTAGCTTAGGTTCAGAAACTTGAACTTAATAATTTTTTTTTTAATCTAGAATTATGTAACACTGAAAACTTAATGATATGAAAGACTAAAGTGGCAAATTTGTTTTGGGTAATAGTAGAAGATGTAGCTTCTTAATGATAGGAATGCCCACATTACCATTCCTGATGGAAGTATCTGGTAACCCTAAGGTTATGATCATAAAGTTGCTTGGTTGGAACCTCTAGATACTTGTCTTTGGGCAGGGCACAGTTAGACATTAAATAATTACATTCTTTGACCAATATTTCTCCAGGCTCCAAATAGACTATTTTCTTTTCTTTCAGTGAAGAGTTTAGGAAGGTTAATATTCAGGTTTATAAGTACACTGTAGTCACCCATGGGTAGAATCAGATGTTCACCGAGGGGAGTATTTACTATTTCTTAAGATATAATGCTTCTGCATACTGCTTTCATCTAGTTTTCAGTGATTTATTGTGACTTTGGTTTCTGAGGGTGACCTTGCTTCAACATAACCTAACAGTCTGAATGACTTTTTTTCAGACTAAAGAGTTTCCAGTCTATTTGTTTCTCATGTCTTGTATTGGTAGACTTGTATCTCTGGGAGGTACTCCTAGGATCAAGACTGCTGGGGGGCTTGGGATTTAGCTCAGTGATTCTGCCTCCAGCTTCCCAAGCGCAAGGTCCCAAGTTCGATCCTGGGTACCAAAGAAAAAAAAAAAAGTCTGCTGGGATTTTTTTGTTTTTGTTTTTGTTTTTTGGCAATACTGTGGATCAAACCCAGGACCTTCACACTGAGTTACATCCCAGCCATTTTCTATTTTTTACACTTGATCTTAGCCAAAAGGCCGAGAAGCGATTGCCATTTTCTATTTTTTACACAGAGTCTGGTTAAGTTGTCCAGTACCACAAAAAGAAAAAAAAAGTTTGTTGAAAACTGAAAAGTCTTAGTACCTCTAAAGTTATGATGAACTTTTCACCTAGTAAATTAGCTTTGTAGCCTGGGAAGAACAACCCAAGTGGTGGTGGTTCCAGTCTCTTCCTGCTGTGATGTTTGAATGCAAAAGCCTTCCTGTGCACTCCCAGTTCATTTGATATTTGCATAGGAATCTGTTACCTCAGATCTCATTCTTCAGAAGATACTAGAGAACATTATTGCTGTAACTTCTAACATCAAATTTTTTTTTAACATCAGATTTTTTAAAAGTAGAATTTCTATATAGAGTCTTGAGCACTTTCTCCTATATTCTCAGGTTCATTCTTTATACATTTTTCTCCCCAGAGAACCATATATATAGTATTGGTGTCTTGACTCTGTTTCTTCTTCAGTGCTACCTTGCCCTGGCCAAAGGAGGCTTATCTGATGACCATGTCCTCATCCTGCCCATTGGTCACTACCAGTCCGTGGTGGAGCTTTCAGCAGAGGTGGTGGAAGAGGTGGAGAAATACAAAGCTACCCTAAGACGCTTCTTTAAGAGTCAAGGGAAACGATGTGTTCTATTTGAGAGAAATTATAAGAGTCATCACCTCCAGTTACAGGTAAGTGATCTCTGCCCAAGAACTTAAGAGGATACTATGGTGATCTTGATATCGATAAATAAATATTTAGGTAGTGGTTAACTGGCATATTTAAATATAATCTAATATTTAAAGTATTTAACATGGGTTGTTACAATAATATTAAAATACTCATTTAAAAGTTTAAGAGTATCTATGATAACTCTAGAAATTTCACAGTGAAGTATATTTTGGGTTTAAGTGAACAGCAGGATACTGAGTGCTAGAAAAATAGTGAGTAGTTGAGAGAATATCCAAGGAAGATGTAGGCCACACTAGGTAAGAGTTTGGAAAGGAATGGAAAAGAATTTTGTGTGGAGGTCCAGCATGAGTGATGGCTTAGAGATAGGAAATAGCCTCAGAGGCCACATGAGCTAGCAGCTCAGAAATTTGATGGTTGTGGTTGTGGTAGTTTCTTTCTGGCACATTTGTTAAGTTTTCAAATGGGCCTAACTCTGCCACATACATTGTAAGGAGCTGTCAAAGGCTTAAAGACAGAGCAATCTCTCTTGAGCTTTTGTGTATCAATATTAGCTCTTACAGTCTATCTCATAAGTTTAAGTCCTACAGACAGGCGGACCAATGCCTGTCTGGCCTGAGGAGAGTCTGTGCTGAGGGGTGCTTTTCCACCCCTGTGATGAGTTTTTTACTTTTCAGAAAGTGTATAGACATAACCTCTCTGGGACCTGTACATTAATTTCTTGTTTTCCCCAACCCCCATCCAGGTCATTCCTGTGCCACTTAGCTGCTGTGCTACTGATGACATTAAAGATGCCTTCATTACACAGGCACAAGAGCAACAGATAGAGCTATTGGAAATCCCAGAGCACTCTGACATCAAGCAGGTAAAACGGGAAGGTCTGGTGATTTTCAGGAAGGAGTAAAGATCTAGTTTTGACATATTTAGCCTGAAGTACTATCAAGGAATTAAAAAAATGTTAAGTAGTCAGTGGACAGGAACCAGATCACAGTATATTGATTAGACTGGAGATGGAAATAGCATTACAGCAAAGTCGTAGTGTTTTCTTGGGAAGAACAAGAGGTTAGACATTTGCTGAGGTGGAAACTTAGCAGGAGGGTGCCACTGGGAGGATACTGGTAAACTCTGACAATCTTACTTTTTAAACTCTTATTTCCCCTAAGTAGTTTGGGATCTGTAGCTATTCACATAGCCTTTTTCTTGTACTTTTAGACTGAATTATTTGCCAAATTAAAGCTTTTAAGAGATGAGCTAGGTTCTAGATTTTCAAAGTACTATATATGTCCTCATACAACTCTTGTTTATTTTAGATTGCACAACCAGGAGCAGCATATTTTTATGTTGAACTTGACACCGGAGAGAAACTTTTCCATAAAATTAAAAGGAATTTTCCTTTGCAGTTTGGAAGGTTTGTATATTTTCCTTCTTTTCAATGTAGTTTCACTAAAACTGTTGTAAACAAAGTGGTGAGCTGTGTGAACAATGGATAATAATATAGGAATCACGCCTTACACCAAGTAACTTACAGTGTCAGGAAAAGTTTTCTGATCAGCCATGTGATACAAAAATGTGAAATGTAGCTTGATAGACTTTTGGGAAACAATCTACCTTGGAAATTTAGAGGTAATCCCAGCACTCAGGAGGCTATGGCAAGAGGAACACCTCGAATCTGAGGGCAGCCTGGGCTACATAGTGAGTTCAAGGACAGCCTGAACTGCAGTGTGAAACCCTGTATCAAAAAAACTAAAAACAAAAAAAAAGGAGATGTGTTATACAGATGTACAAAGTGCCCATGATAAAAAATCAGCATGTACAGTAACTATGTACTAATAAAAAAAGTATAAAACAAAAACTGGTGTAACCGAGCAATGAAGAGCGACTGCCAATGGGTATGAGATTTATTTTTGGGTAATAAAATGGTCTAGAATTATATGGTGGTAATCAGTAAATTCCCAACTTGCAAATGAGTTCTGTTTCGGAAGGACATTTGTAAGTTGGATTTATTTATAAGTCTGGCGAAGTGATTCTTATACAACTTTAACACAGATATACAATGTAAAGCATTAAAAAAGCAAACACACACACACACAAATACTGTCAGTGAACAAATTATACTTTTAAGCACAGTGAGCACACAGCTGCACAACTGTGACAGTGTCCAGCACACATGTGAGCTACTTCCACTATTTACTCACATCCATGAATGTTTCTAATGCAGGGTCCATACCTAATGGTGAAGTTTGTAACTCAAATTACTGTACTAGCCAAGTGTGGTGGTGCATGCCTGTAATCCCAGCACTCAGAGCCTGAGGAAGGAGGATCAATCATAAATTCGAGGCCAGCCTGGAACTTGGGAAACTGAGACCCTGTCTCAAAATAAAATTAAAAGAGCTGGGGTTCTAAGTCAGTAATGGAGCACTTTCCTGGAATGTGTGAGGCCTGGGTTCAATCCCCAGTACCAAACAAATGAAAAGGAACAATACTAATATCTGATCTGAGGCGATTGCGGTCGTAACAGTATGAGAACTGAGTAAGATTTGTATAGTCTTTTAACATCTGTATTAAGTGACTATGTTTGCTACTGGGATCTACATTTAATTATGAGTGTTTCCTCAGACTGCCAGGGATATTATAAAATATATGAATCTTGTCACCTTTTTCGTTGTTTTTTATTTGTTCCTATTGGTACTATATTAGCATGGTTGAAGGGGGTAAAGTAGCATGCCTATGGTCACACAGTGGCAGATTTAAATCCAGGTCTGGTGGACTGCAAAATGTGAGGTCTCGATCTGATTATTCTGTAGTATTCTAGAAGGCTGAATGAGGCTTCAGTTTTGCTCATCATATCAGGCAGAACACGACTGCAAGACCATATAGAGAGCAGTATAAGTTAGATAGAATTGTTACAGGCATGAAGAGACAGAGTCTGAAGGGGAGTAGAAAATATACAGAATGTATTATCTTATGTTAGTATCTGATTTGCAGCTGTTTTTTCTCCCTAGTTAGAATTGGGCTTTGAATGACCCTAGAACCATTTCTGGATTAATTTGGAAAACCTCTGAAAGATTGCCCCATTATCTGCATTTTCAGAAAGATAATTGATAAATGAGAACAATGGTGTTATATACTTCAGACATCTGACTTGATCTTTTTGTTGTTGCCTTAACAACAGATACAGATACATATATGTGGAACACCAAACATATATATAAATATATGTTTGCTTCATATGTGTGTGTATATGTCTGCATATATGTTTGTTCAGTGGTGCTTTTAATGATAACAAAAAAGCCATGGAAAATTTTTTCTCTCCAGTATATTTTATTTTCTGTTTCTTCCAATTTATACAGCTTATATAATAGTGATATTTTAATGGTTGGCAGTGTGACGAGATATATCAACAGATTTATTATGTATATTCATAAATGATGGAACTGTAGCTCAGAAAGCTTAACTGCATAGCTCAAGGTCATACATTACTCATATTTGGGACTTTTGTTTTATTTTTGCTTTCAGTTACCATTCCATTCTGTTTCTGAACAAGTATATATTAACCTCAGGTACCTGCAATTTTTTGGGTTTTTCTGGTACTGGGGATCGAACTCAGGACTTTGTGCTTATGAGGCAGGTGGCAGCACCACTGAGCTAAGTACCTGGCCCAGTACCTGTGATTTTTGTAGTTTACTAAATCTTTTTTGTTTTTCTTTCAAGACAGGGTCTCACTATGTAGTTCAGACTGCCTTGGAACTCACTATATAGCCCAGGCTGGTCTCGAACTCGCAGAGATCCTCCTACCTCAGCATCCCCAAGTGCTGAGATTATAGGCGTATGCTACCATGTCTGGCTAAAATCTTTTTCTTTATTTATATTTTTTCATCAATAAAGAACTGTCATTCGGGCTGGGGAATTAGCTCAGTGGTGCCACTGCCCACCTCACAAGCACAAAGTCCCGAGTTCGATTCCTGGTATAAAAAACAAACAAACTGTCATTCAAAAAAAAAAATAATAACAGCTGCAGATAGGCACATGATTAATAACACACATAGGCATATGTCTTAATTTCTTTTCTCACTGCTGAGTCAAAATACCCAACACCCAAAATTAAAGGAGAAAAGGTTATTTGACTTACAGTTGCAGAGATTTCAGTTCATAATTGGCTGGCTCTAAGACAGACTAGCATGACAGGGGGATCACAGAGGAGAAACAGTTCATGGCAGGCAGCAAGCGATAAGGGATGATACTCTTTCTGTTCCTTGTATCTAATCCTGGTTGCCCACTCTTAGGGAAAGTAGCACTCGCGCATAGTCCTGGCATTGCATCCTTGATCCCAGCATCACACACCCGAAATCCAGCCACCTCCAAAAAGCCCCACCTGTGAGCACATGAGGCTTTGGGTTATGGCTTAGATACAAGCCATAATAGCATATAAAACTCACAAACGAGAGATCCTTTCGATGATTTTTGCTTGTGACAGTCATTTACATTTTCAAAGTTGAATATTTTCAAAATAATTTATAGTTAATATCATTTTACACTTAACAAAATACTTAAAAAGCTATTCTTTTTCTAGCTGTTAAAGAAAAGTGATTCTATCCTCATTTTACATGTAATGAAATAGGCTCAAAGTATACCCAGGGAGCTATGTTTAGGTCTATAATGTCTATTAGAGGACTCCGATGATTTATTTCCATCTCTATGTACTGTAGCTTCAAAGTAGAAAATGGACCAAGTAGATACATAAAATTATTTCCAATATATCAACCTAAGTAAAAGTAAATAAAAATATGAAACAATAGAAATTTGAAGCAGATATATATTTATATGCTATTCTTTTGTTCTGAGAGTAAAAATAAGTTATATTCTTCACATTAAGCTTGTGTTGGTCAGAATGAAAGGGAGGAGGATTTTAAGTCCGAATGGGTATGACACCCAGCTCTACTCTCCACAGACTCGTGGTCTAATTGAGATGACAAAACTACAGTCTAAGGCAGGTTGTAATTCACAGCTAGTATAGTGCTTTGTGTTCTCTGTACTTCACAAAACCATACAAGCTGAGTGTTGTTATTTGAATTTCATAGGTAAGGAATCCAAGACTCAGAGATGAAGTAATCTATTCAAGTCATAGACAGCAAGTGACAGAGCTAGGGATAGAATTCAGTCTTTTGATGGTGTCAACTAGAACCTGTCCTCGTAGTATGCCATGTTGCTTCTCTACATGCTGTACCAATAGTGCAGTTTCAAGTTATTCAAGAGAGGGAGAATGGGGTGTGAGGGATCAACAAAGGGGTGGGATCACTCAATGTGGTATGATTTTGATAGATAGGATGACAGAGATGGCACTCAGCACAGGAGAACAGTATCAGTAGTCAGAAATCTGCATACTTGCTTTGGCTGATGTTGAGAAGAGCTTTCTGGTGGGAAGGGGACAGAGGAAAGAGGGAATTTGGAGCTGATACTCCACATTTTTACTTCTTTGTGCTCTTTCTGCAGAGAAGTACTAGCCAGTGAAGCAATTCTTAATATTCCTGAGAAGTCTGACTGGAGGCAATGTCAAATCAGCAAAGAAGAGGAAGAGACCCTGGCTTGCCGCTTCCGGAAAGATTTTGAGCCCTTTGACTTTACTCTGGATGACTAACTCAGGAAAGAATTCTTTTTGAACTTTGAAAGAAACTGTTCCAGCCAGTATGTTTTTAATGAAACTGCAGTCTCTCCTGGGGACTGTTTCCCTGCCTCGTTTTCATGCATTCCCATGGAACTGCCTGCAGCAAGAGGCCTAGGTTTGAATTTTTTTTTTTTTTTTAGGAAAGTCATTCTAAGATGAAAATTCTATGCTAAAAGCATGTCTGTCACTTAGCACTAAGAACAGCTTGTGTTTACATTTTCAAAAAAACTATCAAATAAAACACAAATTAAAAAAAAATGTTTTTGGTCTTTTGAGATAGGGTCTTCTACTATGTAGTTTAGGCAGGCTTTGAACTCACAATGTAGCCCAGGCTGGTCTTGAACTCCAGGTGATCCTCCTGACTCAGCCTCCCAAGTGCTGGGATTACAGGTGTGTCCCATCACTCCTGGCTACAAATTGTTTTTAATAGTTGAGAAGCCTCTTTTATTCATGTTGCCTGAAGTACTGTGTCAAATCGAAAGGGTTGGAGTCTTAGGTCCAGCTCCTACCAGAATCACATAGGGTGGTTTCTGGATAACCTAAGATAGAAAAGAGACAAATAGTCTTTTTCTCTTATTCATATAAGGGCCCATGCAGTCCTTCAGATATTTAACTCCTATGTACCAGGCATTTTTCTATGCTCCAACAATATAGTCATGCCTCATCATGGTACTTTTTGTCTCAGAGTTTAGGAAGAGAAGGGGGAAGATTTAAAAAGAGAAGATGAGTTCTGCGTTTAATAAGTTGTTCTGCATGTCTAACAGATATGTCCAACGTACTACTGGATAATCCTAAACTCATGGAGTTCTGGATTGTTGATAGGGCTTAAGAGATCATCAGGGCTTAGGCCATAAATGAAATTGTGAGAATGGATGAAAATAAGAGAGGGCAATGCTTTTGTGCCTCAATGATCGTGCCAGTGGGTTTCCTACTGCTTTCCTCCAGCCTCTCTATCTCTTGAGAGAGCAGCTCCCAGCTGGGCTGTGGGAGTTCTGTTGGCCCTCCAGACAGTAAAGGTGGCAGGAACAAGTTTCTGGGTCTGTCAAGTGGTGAAAGTCTCCTTCTGAAGCTCCTGGCTCTTCTCACCCATGTCCAAGATGGTAACTATGAAGTGTCAGCTTATGAAGAATTTCACCTCAGAGAAGCCATGTGTCACAGTAAGTTCTCCATTATAAGAACTAGATCATTGGGCATGGTCTGTGCTGTCAGCATTTTATTAAAAGGCTTAGCTGATCAACTTGCCCTGGTGAAGTTCAAGAAGAGAACTGAAGGGTAAGGTGATAGATCAACATGGCAGCCCTTCTGTGAAAATGTCAAATACTGTTTGCAGCACAGATTAACATGGCACTGCAAACTCCAGCCTAGTGATTATCATAGTAGTACATGTCAGGAGAGAGGAGAATTGGGCCTCAAGTTATCTTTAAAGCAGTGATTTCCACTATTTTCCAATACAGCCCCCACTGATAGTTGTTTCCAATTTAGTAGATATCTTACGTATCCTGGAAACTGAATGCATTTCCCAAAAACTGTGTTATTGGAAGTAGCTATAACCTGGATACTGCTCAGTCCCACTTAACTGGGGAAAATGTTGGTACCCACTCTGAAACTGTCATGAGTCTGTCCTTGGAGGGCCTGTAGACACAAGTGTTCCTATACGGAGTGTAGTCGACACAGCTGATGTCCCTCTAAAGGATCTGAGCTCAACTAACAAAGATTATGAATGCAGTAGGAAAATATCCACAAAGAAGTGATTGCCAGTGTGTATCAGATTATTAAAATGAAAGGTTATACTTCTAGGGCCATTGGCCTATCTGTACTTGATTTAATAGAAAGTATTTTGAAGAACATAAGAACACATTCAGTTTCCACCACAATTAAGGACCTTTATAGCATAGATAAATAAAAGTACAGCATTCCTCAGGATCCCATGTATTGTGGGAGAAAATGGTACAGTGGACCTCATAAAGATAAAGCTGACCCCTGAAGGGGAGCCTATTTTTTTTTTCACTTTGGGGGAATTCAGGAGTGTAAGCTTTAAAATCCAAAGCCACCAGTCTTAAGTTATTGAAGATAATAAATAATGAAACTGTCTATGCCAAAGTTTTGGATAAACTTGAATACCTGAAAGTTGGAAGTGATTCCCCCATTTATTTAGAATCAAGATGCTAGATGGTTTGTAATTTCTAAATACCTGAACCAAAGAAGGTATCTTTGGTGTCTCTGATGTAGCAGTATTTTTAAGAATATGTACTAGCCATCCATTACAAAAATAAGTAGGGTTAGTGGTTACTGTGTTCTAAAAATCATTGCTTTCATTCTAGGTTAGGTTGCTTATACCTGTGTTCATTTATACACTATTTTAAAAAGTTGTCATTTCCCCTACAATGTAGAAATAAAATTATGTACACACAAAAAAAAGATAAGATAAAAATACAGTCCTAAGTAAAGATGTCCACTATTTAAGGAGTTCTTGGAAATAGTGATCCAACAGTACATGGAGAAGGAGCAGAGAGCTCACAGGAGAATGTTGTATGTTGGAGTGAAAAGAAAAATAATTGTCCTATTATTTATTGAGCATTTATGGTGCAGACACTGTTTCACTTAATTCTCATAAAATCTCTATGAGGTATTACCTCTGTCCCGTACATGAAAAAATAGGCAACCTGAGCCTAGAGTAGGCCAGCCCAGAATTTTTTTAACGAGTTGAGTGGTATTTTTAAAACAGTAAAGTATGGAAACTGACCTGATTTCTGCAGAGGTGAGCACTTTGAGTCAAGCCAATCATCAGTATCCTGGCTGGGGTACTCAGCAACCCTCATTATCTCTTCTGGGTAAGAATTAAGAGATTGAAACTCCATTGCAGCAAACAAGAGAGCTTCACACTTTTATGACAGTATGCACCGCGGTCCTGTAAGTATGTGTTCTCAGAGGCTCTTGCCATTACATCTAACTCTGACACTCCAGTTCTACATAAACCACCCAAATCTCCCATACAACAGTATCAATGGCTCACAACACTGATAGCTATGTATTATACAGTACTCAACATTCTAGTTGCATAGACACCTATTTTTTTTTAATGAGAATTTGATTCCATGTTGATTCTTAAACCCATTGAGATCCCTGGGTTCCATAAAGCAGATGACTTGGTCAAGTAGAAAACCAGAAGTTGGTTGTCCTATTGCAATCTGCCATTCAGAAGCACTTCTGGTTGCACCAAACAGCATCCCTGCCTTCGAAGCCCTGCAGCAAACATCAGAAACAATTGCCATAACGAAGAGCTACCCCTAGCACATTCTAACCAGAGGCTCTCGGTCAGCAAGCTCTGAAAGACATTTAAGGAAGCTTTCCAAATCCGGAAGAACATTCTTTGCTCCTGAATGACGTCATCGTTGTTTGTGATTGTAGGGGAGATCATGGGAACGGGTGTCACAGAAAGGCATAATTAACTCTGAAGGATAATGCATCAATGGGCCTGTTTGCATAGGATTCTTTCGAATTCTATGTTTGTACACTATCTAAACCTTTAGTGGCTTTTGTCCGTGCCGGCTCAGCAGGTGGTGGAGTTGGGAGATAGATGGCAGGGATTTTTAAAAAGTTGAAATGTAGACAGGAATGGAGACAATGTGAAGTTTAGAAGATAATACGTAAGAGATTGGTGATTTGAAGGTAATGTAATGTTTGGAGAAACCTTTTATTTTTCAAGTCTAGAAAAACATACGGGGATCCCCTCACCCAGGAGAATGCTCGGGGAGGACTTAAAATACGGTGCTTCCCACTCCCGCCGCCTGGAATCCTGGAAGCGTAAAGGAAAGAATTGGGGTGAGGCTTTTTCTGCAGCAGCTACCGGAAGTGACGCACACATCTCGCGAGAACAAAGACGCGCGAGCCTCGGAGGCCCGGAACCGGCCTTGGAACTGCGGCGGAACTGAAGCTACTTTCCCTCCCGCCCCATGGAGCGGCCCCCGGGGCTGCGGCCGGGCGCGGGCGGGCCCTGGGAGATGCGAGAGCGGCTTGGCACCGGCGGATTCGGGAATGTCTGTCTGTACCAACATCGGGTGAGGCGGGGCTCAGGAGGGAGCAGTAGTGGGTTTGTCAGAGCGTCTCTAGAACACAAGGGTTGTCAGTGTGTGAGGCAGTATTTGTGAGCCTGTGTGTGTGTGTGTGTGTGTGTGTGTGTGAGAGAGAGAGAGAGAGAGAGAGAGAGAGAGAGCGCGCCAGCCAGCGCGACAGGGACAGTGAAGTGATACTCTGTGTGTGAGCTTGGGTGACTGAGTTTGAGTCTGTATCCGAGTTCTCGGGAAAATGTTTTGAAACAGCTATTAGGGCGAATTTAGGTATGAGTGTCAAGATGTGAGCAGCTGTTTCGTGAGAGCGACAATGATTATATGTATAAAAATGTAGAGTGTCAGGGTGTGTGAGGCAGTTGCACATCCGAGTGTCTCTGTGCGTTGGAATGGGTGAGAAACGGGCTGATGGGGAGGGACCTGCCTGTTAATTGTGTGTGCGGATTTGTGTCTTAGCGGTGGGATCAGTAGACTGGAGTAGCCAAGGAAGGCATCTTGATTAGCCAAGAGTCAAACCTTTGGAAGCATTGGTAGACTTTGGAACTGGTTCCAGATAGAGAACAAATTGAGGGTAAGTTGCTGAAAATTATCATAGCTTGAAAAGGGAAAGCTACAAATTGAAGGTGGAAACTATTTTGTGGAAAACAACTAATATCGGACCGGACACAAGGAATTTACTTTTCTTTAACTGAAAATGTTTTACCATTGTAACAGTAGTTAATGTTTAAGTCATGTGTCTTTTAGTATACCAATAAAATGTATGAATCCTTTACCCAGAAAAAAAGCACAGATGCCCATCCACACAAACTGATGACGCCTTGCTGTTTAAGGGGTTCATGCTTTCCTGAAGGACATTTTTAGTGAAGAGACCCTGAACTAATAATTCCTAAAGTATAATTTTTATTTTGTTATCAGTAAAATAGGTATAATAATGTATAGATCTGGGATAACCAAAGGATACAATGATTGTTTAAATTTTAAAAGACACATTGCAAAGAAAGAAAAATGTGTTAAAAAACTAGGGTATTTTGAAGGGAGTTAGTGGTAATGTGTCGTTTACTAATTTTTAAATTGAAGTATTCACCATATTTTATGATCATCTCAAATTAACCGTTTATGGCAAATTCTATCAAATAAAAACATTATGGTCCATCCTCATCCACTATACTCACAAAATCTGGCACTAAGCAACTCCTGGCTCCTCCCCAAAGCCAAAATGACCATGGAAGGTAACATTTTTAACGTATTTGAGTACTGAAGCACCCGGGTCAGCGCCAATAAGATACTCAAGAAAGACTTACAGGCTGCTTCAGAAAGTGGCAAGAGCAATGGGATAAGTGTTCAAATGAGGGGGAATATTTTGAAGGGTATTAATGGCAAGGTGTCTTTAATTTTTAAAAATTTAAATAATTACTATATTTTTCAATCATGCCTTCTACATCCTGGGTCTATTTGAGAGTTAAGTAAGATTGTAATGTATATAAAACTAAGTCCTTGAACTGGCAAATGCCACATCACAGCTGTAGCTTCTTTGTTGTTGCTTTTATCATAATTTTCATCCTCTTTAATTGACCCTAAAAGGGGAAATGTCAAGATAAAAATAGTGCTGTAGGAAAATTACTTTTTTAAGAGATAAATTTGGAAAAACAGAGGACAAGATGATCAGTTAAGATATTACTAAAATGTCTGTACTTGGCGAATCCAGAAAAAGAAATCATAATTTAAGGAACATGATTTTGGAGAGACTGTAAGTAAGGTTAGAAATGAGGAGAAATAGCCATCTATTTTCAGAGAATTGGTGTGCAATTAGAATGACATATGTCATTGATAGAACTGGAAAAACTGAAGCAGCTTTCTAAATAAAGCACAGACGGAAGTCTTAGGTAAAAAAGAAGGTAAAGAACTAAGGCATTAAGTATTTTCCTAGTAAAATGTAAATTTAATAATTCTTAGCATCTGAGGGAACATAATGCACTCAGAAAAAGAGAAAGACAAGTGCTTTCAGTGGGATATTTCCTGTGTTATCTAAGCCTGCTCATTAGCCTGGTGTTAAGGAAGAAAGTGTGTGTGCTGGTATAGTATACTTTTATGACTGCTGCTTTTTTTTTTTGAGACAGAGTCTCACTATGTAGCCCAGGTGGGCCTAGAACTTGCAGCAATCTTCTACCTCAGCCTTCTGAGTGCTGGGATTACAAGTGTGTGCCACCACACTTGGCCTGTGACTACTAAAAAATTTTGATTCCTGGCTGAGGATAGATAAAGATGATTTTTTTTTTTTTTTTTGCTTTCTGTGCACCAGGCCCTGGTTTCAATCCCCAGCACACTCAAAACAAAAACAGAAACTTTTTTATTGGAGTAAAGAATAAAGTTCACCATTTTAACTGTGTAGTTCAGTAACCTGGAGCACATCCACATCAGTATGCAACTGTTACCACCATTTATTTCCAAAACTTTTTTTTATTTCTCAGACTGAAACTCTGTACTCATTAAACAATAATTCCATCTCCCCCTCTCCCTATCCCCTGGCAATATTATTCTACTTCTTGTCCCTGTGAAATCCATTACTTTCTTGTTGTTGTTACCAGGGATCAAACTCAGGTCCTTTTGCTTGCAAGGCGGGCGGTGGAACCACTGAGCTCAATCCCTGGCCTGTGGAATCCGTTACTTTAAATAGAAATTTAAAGTCTTAAAAATCTCTCAGGGACTTTCTAATTGATCAGAGTGCCCTTCCCCAAAAGTGGGACATCTGATAACCAGACCTGTAGTAAGGAGAGAAGGAACAATCTATAAAAAGATTAGGAAACAGGATCACTTATCTTTCAATATATACTAATGTTGAGTAGAAGCCATGTCCCAGTATTTTATGTACAGTTCTCAAAGTACAATGAAGAAGAAGTAAGGACATGAGATGGTTTATTTAGTTGGTTACTGCACTGGGTACTGACAGTGCCAAAATCAGAAACAGGCTTATCTACCTTACAGAAGGTTTCAAGTCTATGAAAGAAATAGACATAAAAACAGAGTGTGGTACTTTATATATTTGTAAAGTAATAAAGAAGCATGGCAGAGGAACCAAAGAACTCTTTCTAGGGAATATGGTAGTGCCTCTCAAAGTGTGTTGTAAAAAATAAGTTCCATGAATACTTTAAAGAAAGGGTATAGGGGCTGGGAATATAGATCAGAGGTAGAAAGCTTGCCCAGCATGTGCAAGACAATCCCCAGCGTGGGAGGGAGGGTGGAGAAAGTGACATTTGCTCTTCCATGGATTTTGTATTCACAGATTCAACCAACTGTGGATTGAAAGTATTTGGGAAAACAATGCATCTGTACTGAATATGTATAGAAGTTTTCTTGTCATTATTCCCTAAATAATACAGTGTAGCAACAATTTATATATCATTTATCTTGTATTAGGCATTATAAGTAATCTAGAGATGATTTGCAGTATATAGGATATACATAGGTTATATGCAAATACCATGCTATTTTATGTAATGAATTTGAGAATCTGCAGATTTTGGTATCCTCTGGAGATCCTGGAAACAGTCCTCCACATATCAAGGGATGACTTTACTATGTTCAAATGCAATGGGTAAATGCTATATATAATATCCCTTTGTTTAGAGGTTGAAAAGTTTAAAAAAAAGGAAACTAGCTTAGTATTTTCTTTTAATTACAAATATATAATGTAAAATTTATCATTGTAAATTTTTTTCGGGGGGGTGCTGGGGATCTAAACCTAGGGCCTTGTGCAATCTTGGTAAGTGCTCTACCAATTCAGTCATTGAGCTACACCTCTAGTCCCAGTTTGACAACTTTAAATACACAATTCTGTTACATTAGGTGTATTTGCGCTATGCAACTATCATTGCTGTCCAACTCCAAAATATCCATTCATATGAGAATTTAGAGTTTAGTGGTGTTCATGGCTGAACAGATAGTCGAGATGGGAATAAAACTTTACATGAGATGTAACTACAACCAGGGTCCTATTCGTAATGAAAAGTTGAAGAGAGGGAATACTATGGTTAGGCTAGCTGACAGTCTGTCCTAATTCCTTTCTTCTCTATACACTTTATCTTATCTTGTCCTTAGCCTCTTTCTCCCTCCCAGCTCCCAATTCACTCTCCCATTCAAGGTATGTCTTACTTCACTCCCCACTTACAATTTTTTTCCCTTCCAGCCCCTGGGCACTTCTCTGTTTACTCAGAACCTTTACCGCACCTCTGATTTTTGTCAGAGATTACACATTTTGAAAGCATTGACTTAACAGTCTCATGGTTTATCTAACAAAAGTATAGACTCAAGAAAGCTGTGGATAGTTTGTTTAAAAAGTGTTGTTTCCCTGAGTTAACATTTCTTTGATAGCAAGCAAATCTGTGCAAGAACCTAACTTATTTTTTCTGTTGACTTTCTGTTTTGGCAGGAACTTGATCTCAAAATAGCCATTAAATCTTGCCGCCTAGAGCTAAGTACCAAAAACAGAGAACGGTGGTGTCATGAAATCCAGATTATGAAGAAGTAAGTGTATTCAGTGACTTTTATTTCTCCAGTGCTCCAGCCCTGACAATAGCGAAGGGGGCCTAGAATCCACTCTTAGGATCTTTCGGAGAACATATTTTTCGCTTTGTCATCACTGTATTTATTCTATTTCATTTAATTACATCACTATATGTATTAATTACTTTTCTCTAGTTGCTAAAACAAAATACCTGACACCCAAAGGAGGAGGAAAGATTTATTTGGCTTACAGTTCGTAGAGGTTTCAGTCCATAATCAGCTGGCTGCAAGACAGAGTGGATTGCAGACAGGCCGACTTTCGGAAGGAGAAACAAACAGTTCATGGTAGCCAGAATGTAGCAAAAGCAACAAGAGTTTAACAGCGGCTTTCTGTCCCTTTTATCTTATTCAGACTACCGGGATTAGGGTGGTGCCAAACCAATCAGTGTACTGGTTTAAAACACCCTTAACCCCAGCATCATACACACTTAATCTCAGTATCACAGACTCTAGATTAAGCCATCACATGAGCCTTTCATGGGACATCTAGACCCAAACCATAACACCATGTGATTAAGAAAGTTTAGTTTAAAAGTCAGCTAGTTATTACCAGAATCACTTCTCTCAAGGCAAAATTTATTTCTTCTGGATCTTGAGAAATCCCCATGTATCATACTTCTTAGTTAAACTACTACAAATTTTAATAAATCACTGTTCTCCCTTCTTTTGCATTTACTTCTGTTAAATAGTCCTACTGCTTTGTTAAAACTTACCCCCAAATTTAGTGGCTTAAAACTATAAGCATTTACTATCTATACTTTCTCTGGTTTAGGAATATGGGAGTGGCTTAGTTGTTTGGTTCTAGCTTAGGGTCTCTTGAGATATCTCAAACTGTTGGCCAGAGCTGGGGATTTAGCTCAGTGGCACCATGCCTGCCTTGCAAGTGCAAGGTTTTGAGTTCGATTCCTGGTACTGCAAAAAAAAAAAAAAAAATCAAATTGTTGGCCAGAGCTGCAGTCTTCCAAGGCTTAACCAGGGATGATATAGTGACTTCTAGGATCACTTGTATGGTTGCTGGAAAGAGGCATCAGTTCCTCACAATGTGGGCCTCCTTAGGGAAACCTGAAATTATAACATGGCAGCTAGCTTCCCCAGAGCAAGTGATTCGTGAGAGAGAAGAAGATGAAGACTGACACGTCTTTTATGAAGTTTTTCAGAAGTCACGTTGCATTCTTTCCACCATACTTCATGCTTTCCACCAAATTCTGTTAGAAATGAATCACTAGTTGGGCATGGTGATGCACCCCTTTAATCCTAGCACTCAGGAGGCTGAATGAGGCAGGAGTATTGCCGAGAGTTGGAGGCCAGCGTAGGCTACACAGTGAGTTCTAGGCTAGCCTGAATTACATAGCTAGACCCTGTCTCAAAAACAACAAAAAACAAAAACCAAAAATAAAATGAGTCACTAGTAATATCACATACTCAAGGAGAAAAAAATTAAGCTCGTAAAGGGATAGGTGGACATACTTTAAACGTTCACAGATAATATGCTTCTAACCGATAGTGTAATTGTACTGATCATTCGTCTAGTTGTCATTATAGCCCTGTGTTTAGGTATTATCCCTGTTTTGTATATGAGTAAGCTGGAGCTCATACAGTCACGGCTGGTAGTAGAGTCTGGGTTTGACATGATCACTTTCTGACTCCAGTGTTGTGCTCCGTTCAATTTTTATACTTCTAAAATGTGGCTACATAGCAGAATCATCAAGAAAACATAATATAAATTCTCAGGTCCTCCATGTAGAGATTTTCTTCCTTTAGGTCCTAGGACATGGGAATCTATACCAGTTGATGATGATGATGATGACTGACAGATTGCTAATAAGAAAAAAAAAGAACTGTTATTTAATATATAGTATGATTCAGCATTTATTGAAAATTTTGTGCTTAAAACTAAAAGGAAGTATTATTATTCACATTTTATTAGTATTCACCTCTGGGTAACATTGTTAGTGATCATTAGAGAGGCATCAGTGTTGGGGAATCTTTTAGAGATCGAGTTCTCAAACTGCAACCCAAAACCCACTTGTTTATCACAAAGTGCCAACACTGCAATTAAATCTAAATGCTCAGCTGCTGGGATAATGCTGGTGCGAGTTGGCTCACATGCCTACAGAGTGAGCTCTGGTACCTGCTGCAGCACACATGCCATAGGTTTACTAATATAAGCTTTGGAGCCAGACTACCTGATTTGAATCCTTATTGACAACCTACTTGCTGTGACATCTTGTCACTTTACTAATTCATGCTTCAATTTTTTCCTGTTTTAAGAAATGCTTAGTAAATCTACTTTATTCATGGTGTTGTGACAAGTAAATAAGTTAATATATTTATCTGATTGACACAGAAATCTAATAGTAATGATGGTATTTTAATGTACATTTTCCTTCTAAAAATTACTGATTTTTAGTTACACAAATCACAAATTAGAATTTTATAAAATACCAGTGTTCCCTATGTCACTCCCTAACCCCCAATTAAGTACCATTTCACATCCAGTTCCTTTATAATGTCTTTCCCTTCTTGTTAGGTTGAACCATGCTAATGTTGTAAAGGCCTGTGATGTTCCTGAGGAACTGAATTTTTTGATTAATGATGTGCCTCTTCTAGCAATGGAATACTGTTCTGGAGGAGATCTCCGGAAGGTAGTGTGGATGGTTTGAGATAATAAGATAGTAAATCATAAACTTTAGCAGTTTTGAATCATATTCTATATGATAATCTATAAGAATCAGAATACTATGGTCTGCTACCTGTTTTGTAAGTAAAGTTTTATTGGAAGACAGCCATGTTCATGTCTATAGCTGCAGAACTGAGTAGTTCTGACAGACTGTATGGCTTAAAAACCCTAAAATATTTACTATTTGTCCCTGTGTAGAAAATGCTTACTGACCCCTGATTTAGAACATGCATTTTTTTGGTTGTTTGCAAAATTAGACTAAATTGATAGTGTTAAATCAAACTGTCAGTGTTTAAGGTTGTTATAAAAAGGTTGTCTTTTCAGCTGGGCATGGTGGCACAAGCCTGTAGTCTCAGCCCTGAGGCAGGAGGATCGCCATTAAGTTCAGGGCCAGCCTGGGCTACATAGTGAATTCCAGGCCAGCCTGGATCACATAGCGAGATCCTGTTTTAAAAACAAGAACAACAAAGTTGTCTTTTCTACTGCAGTCTTTCTTTCCTAACTTATTTTAAATTTGTCCATATGGCTATTTGTATATAGCTATATCTCTGTGAGATTTCCCAGCCTTTTTCAATTTCAGTTTCAAATATTTTTGCCCCTTATCCTTACTTTTGTGAGCTTTGTCATGAAATTTACATGTCCTCTACATGAATTTCATGATTTTTCCCCTTCGTATACTTTATCATGACTCTTTTTCCTTAAGTATTCTCTTCAAGTATAGTGATTAATATTTGTTGCTATTGCTGCCCAGCAATTTGTAGTATACATTTTTAGACTTACTATTTTTTTTTTCCTTTAGCTACTCAACAAACCAGAAAATTGTTGTGGACTTAAAGAAAGTCAGATACTTTCTTTACTCAGTGATATAGGTATGTATTCAATATTTTTAAATACCATTATGAATCAGTGCCCCTTTTTGTGTAAAAGATTCTGTGTACTTCTTGGGAATTAAGGATAATTGTTAATATACTGTGCATAGCATATTGATATTTATAAGAAATTATTAAAATGTGTTACTACTATTCATTCTAAAATAAAACTAGAATATTTTGTTATGTATTTTTTAGCTTTCTAGAAGTCATTTGCCTAATAGATCTTCCAGGTATTGGCAAGAAATAGTGTGAAATGAACTTGCTTAGTTTCACTCCCTGAACCTTCAGTTAACATAGTAATTTTGTTCACCATCGAATTAGAGCCCTTTGGGGAAGAAGTTCTCAAGTCAATTCTTAAGAATGAAATTCTGATTTAATCATAATTGTTCCCGAAAAATCCCTGAGATAACAGAACCTAGGCCCTTGCAAGATGCTCAAAAACTAAGAATTGATTTACCTATGTATTTTAGTTTTGCTTCTTTTCCAGGTCATAAGGGCTGAAGTTTAGTTGAAGAGGGTGATTTAGGTGAGAGGAAAATGTCATAAGGGTTATAGGAATTTTCTCAGTTGATCTTTACATTTCTTTTTAATGTTAATTGTAATAAATTAAATGACCATATATTGTAACTTCAGTGTGTATTTATTGTTACTCTATTTTCTGTAAAGAAAATCTATTGTAATTGTAATAGTTGAGAGGTTGTGATGGTCCATATAAATTCGAGCATCAGTGCAGACCTGTACAAAATGTGATAGTTTTTTTTTTTAAATGAATGTTTTCTCTTCAAAATACTTTTTAAACTTTTTATAGGGTCTGGGATTCGTTATTTGCATGAAAATAAAATTATACATCGAGATCTAAAACCTGAAAATATAGTTCTTCAGGAAGTTGGTGGAAAGGTAGGTTAACCTGAAGAAATGTTCTGTGCCTATTGCACATAGTCTCCTTGATGCAGTTTTTAAGCTTTTGTATTCTTCTTGTGTACCCGTAGCACTCTGTACTCTTTCTATTTCAGTCCTCACCACAGTCAACTGTAGTTCTGTGGTTAGATTTTGTCTCATTTCCTAAACATTGGCTCCTTCAGAGAAGAAAGCGAACCTCTCGTTCATGTGTTTTTCTAGCACTGTTTGTAGCAGAGATAGTGGGCAGTAAATAAATTATCAACCCTATTTTATTAAGAAGCACATCTAAAATGCATACATATACATCCTGAGCCTGCTTTGCTTTAAGAAAAAAAAGTGTTTCTTTAAAACTCATTTTCCTTCTTCCAAATCCTAAGCTCTGTATTTAATTAAAACTTGATTTCTCAGATTCCTAAGTAGATCATGTTAAGAAATTGTAAATTGACTTCTAACATATTTTCATCAGAATAATTTGAGCTCTTTTCTTGTTTCCAGCATTTAAGTTTCATCCCAGTGAAGACTTAAAGCCATGAGTTTAAAACTTGCATTGGATTATATAGTAACTCTTAGTAAAGATGATAATTGGTCAACTGGAAGTGATGGCCCTATGATGATGATGCTTCTCATAGAAGCCTTTTACATATACTTTTGCACCAATTATCTCTGCTTACTGTTTTTTGGTTTTGTTTTTGTTTTTTTAATCTATCTGAAGACCTAGGAACATACTTGAATTAACACAAATGTTGCTTCACATTTAATCCTTCCTATAGTAGTGTATACTCCTTTAAATTCGGGTATCATCCTTTGCCTTCCAATTTAATGGATCAAATTTAATACAGAATATACCAAAATAAAAATTAATAGTCAACCTATGTTTATTTTTTACCACGTATCAGGCACTATGTTCTTTATTTTCACTATTTTCTTGACTCTTAATAAATAATTCTGTAAAGTAGGAACTGTTAGTTATCTAACTAAATAAGATACTCCAAGAGGTTAAATAATTTGATCAAGAATACATGGTTGGTTTAGTGGTGGAGCTCAGCCTTGAAACAAATTCAAATCCCAGGCTTTTTATTACTACACTGTGTACAATCTTACAAGGATGTTGTTGCCTTTGCTTTCCAATATTTCAACCATGTAATATTTATTTTGTCCTATTATTTTGCAGATAATGCACAAAATAATTGATCTGGGATATGCCAAAGATGTTGATCAAGGAAGTCTCTGTACATCTTTTGTGGGAACACTGCAGTATCTGGTGAGACATGTAATATTTCTTTGAATTTAAATGTATTAGACTCATTCTATGAAGGTCATGTATGTAGTAGTTTGAAAATAAAGTAGCCTTTCCCTTATAGTATTGGCATTTAAAACATTTTCTCTTTCTTTCTAGGCCCCAGAACTCTTTGAGAATAAGCCTTACACAGCTACTGTTGATTATTGGAGCTTTGGGACAATGGTGTTTGAATGCATTGCTGGATATAGGCCTTTTTTGCATCATCTGCAGCCATTTACCTGGTAAGACCTAGATGAGAACTTTGATGTACTTAATGTAAACTTTTTTAGTTGTTTGCTTTTTTCATTTACTTTATAATTCCTTTTTAAAATCAGAATTGAATAAAATAAAATGACAGGAAATCTTGGAGTATTTGTCAGAATCACATTGTCAACTGAGGTATCTTTTGTTTTCCTAGGCATGAAAAAATTAAGAAGAAGGATCCAAAATGTATATTTGCTTGTGAGGAGATGACTGGAGAAGTTCGGTTTAGTAGTCATTTACCTCAGCCAAATAGCCTTTGTAGGTAAGTGCATTTTAGTTGAGAAAATTTGCCTCAGTTTGTTCAGGATTGTAAAAGAAGAGTAAAGTAGTTGTCTGTTTCAAGTATCATTTTCCAGTACAACTTTCTATAATTGTGGAAATGTTCACTTAACTACATTGATCACATAAAGTTTATTGAGCTTTCTGAACGCTTGAAAGGTGTTCAAAGGGAATTGTGGCCTAGTTCATTGATAGAATGTTACCTAAATTGCCTAGAACAAGTGCTAGTACTGCCAAAAAGACAAAAAGAGCTAGCTAGTGTGATTAAGGAACTGCATTTTAAATAAATAGTGATTGTAAGTAACATTGTGACTAATTGCTATCCTATTAGACAGTACAAATATTAATGAAACCAAGAACTGTTGCCATTCAGGGGATTAGCTTTGATGCTAAAACTACCCAGAGAATAGGTTCCCTGAAGAATGCAATTAGACTTATCTATTGGTGTTGTCATTATTAAACTTATATATGTGGGGTTTAGGCCTGTTTTCTTATGGCAGAAAGTTTGTCTCCTATCATTTCATGAACTATTTCAAAGTAAGATATAAAATAGTATAGATAAGTGGTGAGAAAAGAAATGGACAGCTTATATAATTGTTTTTTAAATAATACCAAAGGTGAATTGGAACACAATCACATTCACTTTGTTTTTGTATATTTCTTAGTTTGATAGTAGAGCCTATGGAAAACTGGCTGCAGTTGATGCTGAATTGGGACCCACAGCAGAGAGGGGGACCTGTTGACCTTACTTTAAAGCAACCAAGATGTTTTGTATTAATGGATCACATTCTGAATTTGAAGGTTAGTTTTAATGAAGTATATTTCTTAAGACCTACATTGCAGTTAACTAGTTTCCTTGAAAACAGGATAAGTATATTTTAATAATCTTTTCATGGTATTTATTTGATAAAGAAAATTACATTCTTGGAGCTGATGCTTTTCTAAAAGAAGCTTTTCAGTTTGCTTCTAAGTGGCTTTTGTTGATTATTTCTTTGAAGCATCTTTATATTCTTTTCCCCTTGTTGGTACCATTAAAATACCTCATTCGTTTAGGTTTAATCATGCTAGATTTGGTTTAGTGAGAAAGGTTCTCATCTAATTTTCATATCTCTATACTTTCCATCCTGTAGTGTATGCAGCATAAACTGCCCTTCATCATCTTTTGAGATTAGAAGAGATCAGGAATATTCAGGGTGGTATGGCTGTAGATTGCCCTTCATCTTCTGAAAATGCTTTTAAAAAAAAAAAAACAAAAACTATCAGGAAATTAACAATCATGTTGGAGGGATTGGGCAGGTTTTGTTTGTTTGGCTTATTAAGTTACATTTAAACTGATCTGCTTATCTGCTTGGCTTTTTTACCAAATACTTGCCTTATACCTGCTTAACTATTACCTTACTTAAGTTTTTTATTGCTTCTCCTGCCATCAAATCCTTTATCTACTTTTGTGCTTTGACAGATGCTTCCCTTCTGCCAAGAATAATCCTCATCTCTGTATATCTCCTTGCCCACGCTTAAGTGTCTTCAGTTTGTTTTGTTTTGTTTTGTTTTTTTGGTACCAGGGATCGAACTCGGGTCCTTGCACTTGCGAGGCAAGCCACCTTCAGTTTGCTTCTTCTTTACATGCTGTCTGCCACACAATATGTCAGTCATATTTTGTATATTCTCTAATTTTCTCATCTGCCATTCATGCCTCTCCACTCTCTGGCTGTCCTTGGTTATCTGGACAGAGCCTCACTTTACTCAGTCTCACACTCACTTAGCCTATATCAGGCTACTTTCACTGGAGCTTCATGTGAGAGTAAGACTGTTTTCTTATCTAACTTTAGACCTTTAGGCAGGTCACTGCTCACTGATTGGATTGCCTTATGAGGATAACAAAATTTTCTTCCATAGAAATAGGGGCCTACTCTTGTACTAGATGGTTGTTTCTTGACGCAACCTGAGGCAGTCAGACATGAGTTCAGACTCAGTCTCTATCAGTTACCAGCTGTGTGATTCCTAACAAATTATTTGACTTCATAGAGCCCTGGCTTTTCCCTCTGCTAAAAATGGAGATTAGAAAGTCTAATTAATGGGAATGTTTTGTGAATGCACAGTTGGTATCTATTAGGCACTTCGTACATGGGGATATTTCCTCCTATTTTTATGATATTGTTACTCAAAATAAATACTGAAGGGGCCTGGGATTTAGCTTAGTGGTTCTGCCGCTTGCCTCACAAGTGCAGGGTCCCGAGTTCGATCCCTGGTGCCAAAAATGAATAAAAGCTGTAGGTGTTTTTTTAAAACTGTAATTTTTATTTTTTATTATGTATGTCCCTAAAACTTTGAAATTTTATTTTTTGGCACTAACATCTATTGTACTAGAAAAGTGAACTGTTCTTCAGTTTTTAGAATGTTATTTTATAATTACAGAAAATCTCATTTTGGAGAATGAGTGAACCTTGTTTTGTTTAGAAGTAATGCCTTTTGCTCATATTCCTCTTTCAGTATCTTGCACTGAATTGTTATGTAGCAAATGATCAATAAATTTATCTTTTTGTTACTCATACAGATAGTACACATCCTAAATATGACTTCTGCAAAGATAATTTCTTTTCTGTTACCACCTGATGAAAGTCTTCATTCACTACAGTCTCGTATTGAGCGTGAAACTGGAATAAATACTGGCTCTCAGGAGCTTCTTTCGGAGACAGGAATTTCTCTGGATCCTCGGAAACCAGCTTCTCAATGTGTTTTAGATGGAGTTGTAAGAATCCTGTTTTCTTTTTTATATATATTTTTATATATTTTTTGATATAATATTTGTACTTAACTTATGGGGCACAGTATTGTAATTCAGTACATATTACAAGGTATAATGATCAATCAAGGTTATTAGTATTTCCATTTCCTCAAATACTATTATCTCTATATGTTAGTAATCTTCAAACTCCCTCTTTAGTTATTTTGAAGTGTGTAATTATTGTACACTAAAGTTACCTGCTGTGCTATATAAAAAGGGTTGTAAGAGAATTGTAATACACCTAAAAACTGTTAAGAAATCTGTATAGAGTTGTGTGCCCTGCATTTTTCAGTACATGCATGGAATCCCTTGGGAGTGCTATACATCTTATAATTCTTTTAGTTTTGCCTCACTGGTGACTTTATCATTGTTTTGCAGGTTAAATGAGATAGAAATACCACATTTTTTTTGAACTTTGTAATGCTTTCTCTATGATGTCATATCTATCCCCCATCCTCAAATATTCTTTTTCTTCTTACAATTGAAGCCTAGAATCTTTTTTTTTTAACTTATTTTATTTTTATTTGAAAATAATGGGA